CGCGTACCTACCAATTAAAGCACTTTGACATGGACTGATGCTTTCTCTGAAATAGAACTAAGGATTTTTTAACAGTACTACAAGAAGCTGGAGGTTTGGCGGTGATGAATCTGCGGAAGATTCATTACAGAACTTGACAACCCATGATCATGGGTGCACAAAAACAAATTTTATAATGAATTTGTCCTAATCAAGAAAAAGAACTGCTTGTAAAAAGTTCATGCGTCGAGTTATTTTATTTATGTTAAATGGCATCACATGCAGTGAGTAATACGTCGATTACAACACGGTTCGAGTAGGGACAATGTTGTCAATGATCAAGAATAAATGGTATCATTACTGTTGAGGTATACAAGTACATGTGTATCGACTTTCTGTTGCAAATCCCTACATAAAGACTTGTAATAGAGGAACATGGATTTTTATGACTATAATTTACGGATAGAGCTAGATCAGGAAGCTTCCGATCCTTTACGTAACTTACAGAAAATGTTAAACGTCGTTCCAGCGATGTTATTTTCGACAACGATACATTGCTTACAAATGGTGCTACATGACAATCTTGTTCGTGGCGCACACAGGTAAATGACTTAGATCTAGTGCGTGACATTGTTCGTGCACCGATGAATGGAGTCCGGCAATTTTAAATTCAAATAAAAAACAATGGTTATATGTGATTAGATATATGCCAAGATTTTAAAATAAAACGGAATCTATGAACTTCTTTGCTTGTTACCAAGGAAATACATGTAAGCGGAGTCATGCTGTCTTTGAATTGACGTCAGATAAATGGATGGTGGAATCATGCATAATAGCAACTGTTAGATGAAATATTGCCTTTAATTCTCTATGAATAATTCTATATGAATTTCACTTAGGAGTTACACAATTAGAATGTAATACATGTTTTACATCTAGATCCGTACAACAAAACACCATATATATCACTATCATTTGTTCTGACAATATTCCCAGACTGATAATACCTCGTCTCGATTCTTCCATCGTTAAACTCTGCATAATTATCGATTTGCTTTTGATACCTAGTGTATAGTATCTTCGTCTTTGATATAATTTTGCATAATTTCAAATTTACGCAATGAAATTCACAATGAACGATTTTTTATCGTTAATTAGTTGCATAACTCACTAATCACGGTTAGCAAAGTAAACGCTTACATGTATGTGATTCTATTTTCCTATTATACCCGTCATATTAGTACCAAACGAAGTTGCATAACTCACTAATCACGGTTAGCAAAGTAAACGCTTACATGTATGTGATTCTACTTTTCTATTATGCCCGTCATATTAGCACCAAACCGGATTACAGATAATAGTTGTCTCTCCTTACTTTGTATTGTAAAATTTTCTCTCATTTCTACTTTTTCTGTCCATGACCATACACCCAGGTTCGCTGTTCTTGTATTACACACCAAATCATCAAATAAGGCACGTGCGCGTAGCGGTGTGACGTGTCCCTTCTCAATTGACGTCATCGCCTGATACAATATATACACTTTTGTGTACAAATAGTTATTTGCTGTGACTGTTTAAATTTTGTTTTGAATTACAAAATTTGCCAAATCTAGGCACGGATAATTAATCTTCTGTGTCAATTTGTCGATCAATTGCATAATAGAAATATAGTTTTTGTGTAATATGGGGTCCTTTGTAGTATACTGTTGACGTCTGAAGCTATGTTAGAGAAAATACAAAAAGTCGGGCGAAGGGTGGGTTATTTTTATCATCGCAAAATGTGGTAAAACCCTCGGCAAATCTCTGATCTTACGGTATTTTGTGACCCTGCAGATGGAATTGCCTTTCCCTACACCTCGACACACGAAAAAAGTCTTATAATACATCCCTGGTGTACAACAATTCCGATATTGTTTATTTTGTAAATGGTTAAATACCAACACACTAAAGAGAATTTTAATCCTTGGACAGCAGGAGAGTCCAGCTGCTTATTTCTAATCCATCAGGTCTGAACCCAGACGGCACTGTTTGACATTTGGTGGACAGAAATTAATTAATATAAGCTTTTGTCTTGTTTTCCAACCATTTATTTATTTGTATTTAAATTCATAATGAGAAATATATAGAAATAAAATATTGTTTAAACTCACATTCCGCACTAATTCACGGTACACGAGCACTGCATGAGAACCTACTACCAGCATCTGAAAAAATGCTCGTAGTCTGAGAGTTCATGTTGTATCATATCCCGAGGAAACTATCAAGTTATTTCTGTACGGTACGTCTTCCTTCTTTAATATAGCGCATCTCGATATCAACATAAATATTCACAAAAATGACATTTTAATTAGCTTGTTTATGTGGATTAAGTCATATTACTTATTTTTGTTAATGGCAGATATAAATGACATTTACGGTAACGTCTTTGAATCAGAACTTAAGGAGATGAATTTGCTATCTTTGAAGTGCTTTACCTCGGTAGAAATTAAAACTTCATTACACTTGAACTCTTACGTGTTATATATAATGTTGATTTACACAGTAGAAACTGTAAGTCCATATTTATTATGAATGGTAATGAGTTACGGATACCGTTGTTGTTAACTTTTAACATTAGTGCTGATAGCGCTCAATGTATTGTGACAGTCATTGATAAATGTTAAGTGAAGTTTTGTGATAATATGTAACAAGTGTCCTCGACTTGATCTATTGCTACTGGTAACAATCTTTGAAAAAAGGTGCAATTTCTATCTATTCGTGACAGCATATGACAAGTATTGTCTGCTGAAACATTTTGTAACAGTCTTTGAATAGCGTCGCCGGCATGACTCTTTTGACATTGTACATTGTACAGGACAAATGTCGCAGACTGGGTCTGTTTGTGACAAGCTTTGACAAGTGGCGTCGACAGGACTTTTTTGAAATTGTACATTGTGCAGGACAAATGTCGCAGACTGGGTATATTTGTGACAAGCTCTGACAAGTGGCGTCGGCAGGACCTATTTGAGATGGTACTTGAAAAATGTCATACTACTTCTGACAGTTTTTTTATAAGTGTCGTCATCTAAACCAACTTGTTATAGTCTTGGTCGAGTGTTAACTAGACCTATTTGTGACAGCGTTTGACAAGTACCCTCTGTGACAGAAGTAGTTGGCTGGGCCTTTTTGTGACCGTTTTTGACAAGTGTTGCCGACTTCACATGTTTGTGACCGTCTTTGACAAGTGTTGCCGACTTCACATATTTGTGACCGTCTTTGACAAGTGTTGCCGACTTCACATGTTTGTGACCGTCTTTGAGAAGTTTTGCCGACTTCACAGATTTGTGACCGTCTATGACAAGTGTTGCCGACTTCACATATTTGTGACCGTCTATGACAAGTGTTGCCGACTTCACATGTTTGTGACCGTCTTTGACAAGTGTTGCCGACTTCACATGTTTGTGCCCGTCTTTGACAAGTGTTGCCGACTTCACATATTTGTTACCGTCTATGACAAGTGTTGCCGACTTCACATGTTTGTGACCGTCTATGACAAGTGTTGCCGACTTCACATGTTTGTGCCCGTCTTTGACAAGTGTTGGCGACTTTATAGATTTGTGACCGTCTTTGACAAGTGTTGTCGACTTCACATATTTGTTACCTTCTATGACAAGTGTTGCAGACTTCACAGATTTGTGACCGTCTATGACAAGTGCTGCCGTCTGGTTCTATTTGTGGCAAACACAATTAGTTATTAAAGTTCCGAAGACTAACCGGTTTTATACCGCGATATAATTTATTAAAATGTGTAGTTGACTTTGACAACAAGAGATTCCAGAGGGATCTTGGCGTCCACCATTGTTTGATCTTTATATGCTCTTTGAAAGTTGGATCTTTTCCTTTTTCTCTCTCGTCTTCTCTGTTTGCTCTTAAAGATAAGACATTTGAAAATTCCTTTGCAGAAATAGTGATGATAAAATCTACTTGCCAAATCCAAACTGGCCACCTGGAAGCCCCAAAATCAACCAAGCACAAGGAGACACAAAATGAAACAAACGTATGTAATTTGAGATATTCATTCAGTACTTCTTAAGAAATAGCAATAACAATCTTTACAAGGCTAATTCCAATATGGCTGCCTGTCTGCCATTTTGTTTTTCTGATCAGTCCCAAACTACAACAGGCACAACAAACCATCTAAAGAAACATATACAAGAAATTTGAGAAAGATCTATAGAGTAGTTCTCAAGAAATAGTGATAACAATCTTTCGACGTCAAAATCTAACATGGCCGCTTATGGGGCATTTTATTTCTTCTGATAAGTACCAAAATCAAAAAGGCACAACTAGGAATCAAGGAAAGCATACACATGAAATTTGAGAAGGACCTATGCTGTAGTTCTCAAGAAATACGATAACAAACTTTCTACGTCATAATCTAGGATGTCCGTCTGTCTGCCATTTTGTTCCTCTGAGCAGACCCAAAATTCCATGGGCACACCTAGAGACCAAGGGAAACCTGCGCATGAAATCTGAGAGATCCATCAAGTTCTTCTCAAGCAATAGCAATAACAATTTTTCAAAATCAATCCAAGATGGCCGCCTGTCAGCCATTTTGTTTTTTGATCAGACACCAAATCAAAGGGACACAACAAGGGACCAATGGGAACCTACATATGAAAGATATGAAAGATCCTTCCTGTCCAACTCAAAGTCAAAATCTAAGATGGTCGCCTTTCGACCATCTGATGATGGTGGATTAAAAATATAAACAGTTCTTAAACGAGATGTAAGTATTACGCTGACATACACTGTAATAATGGTTTGTAGTCTGATTGTTTTCACATCAGGACACCATTCAAACAAATAGATGGATAAACATTAAAACTGTACAAGTGTTCTTTTTTTATGAAAATGTGGCATAAATACTCTAGATGAGTCGTCCTTCTAGCACACCTCTGGTTCAAATCTGACACTTCACGATCGGGACAGATTTTGCCCAATCGTTTGGAATTAATTAAAGGACTTAATTTAACCCATGATACTTTCATCCGTAAAATACGCAAAATGCACCAGGATAGGAGACACCCTGCCTATTTGCGAGTTTATTAAAATGTGTACATCTTTAAAAAAAATAAGCAAGAATGGCATAAAAATAGCGAACATCACATAACAATGTTAATCAAATTTGTTAATTTGTAAGTATTAAATATAATGAGAGCATATACATTTTTCTACACTAATCCGTAATTAAGTGCTAAGATCTGATAGTTCTGTGGACATAGGGTTCGAAACCTCAGTGTTTGCCGGACTGTGGCCATTGTGCGTCACTTCCGTCGATAGGTTTGCCACACTGACGTATTCGTCCTCAAACTCACTCACACCTCGACACACTTTGAATGTGAGCAGCCTCCTGAACGCCATTCTGAACCCCCTGTTAAAGTTGTAATAGAGAAAGGGATTGAGCATGGAGTTGAGATACCCTAGCCACAAGGCCACTGTCCAGGGGATGTACGGAATTGTGTAGCCAATCATTGGATCAATGATATTGAGGATGAAAAACGGAAACCAGCACACACAGAAACATCCCATAATGATCGAGATCGTTTTCGCAGCTTTTGTCTCCCGTTTCAATTTCCCGGTGTGATGCTTGTGCAAGTTAAGTTCTAAACTACGGATATGTTTTGCTTGTTTTTCTGCTGCTATATATATTCTTACGTTGCACACAATCATAAAAATAGTCGGGAGGTAAAACGCTATGGTAGAACATACAACGGCGAAAGCGGTGTTCACCATGAAACTACAAGTCGAATCATCCGGAAACATACAATGGTACAAATCTTCGATTCCAAACAGGTTCCATTCGTTCATTATTGGAACAAATGATATCAAAATGGGCGTGAACCAACAGCATACGACCATGCCAGCGATCACTGAATTGTTAAGTCGTTCATGGAGAAATGGACGACAAATGGCAAGGTATCTGTCGATGGCGAGACATGACAGATGTATGATGGATGTCGTTGTAAACATAACGTCTAAACTCGTCGATACCAGACAAAGTGTGTGACCAAGCGCCCATGACTTATTACTAAGCTGTTGATATACTCCGAACGGCATCACCGACAGTGCCACCATGCAGTCGGCAAGCGCTAGAGACACCACGAACACATTTGTGATGGTGCGCAAGCGTTTATGCGTGAACACAGCTACTATCACAAGCGTGTTTCCGAAAAACGTAAGCACAGGAAATAACGTCAGAATTAGACCGAGCACAGCCCGAACTTCCACCGAATAGAATGGCGGGGGACCCTGTTTGCCCTCCAATAGGACAGAACAGTTCACTTCCGGCGTTGTATTTAGCATTCCTTGAAAAACATCAAACGCACACTGGTCAGTGGTCTATTCTACTTTGACACGGGTTTGATGATCGTTACATGCAACTGTTCTTTGTTAGCATTGTTTTTCATTTCATAACTGGAACTTCTTTCGTTGTTGTAGAACTTCCGGTCCATTCAGTAGTAGTTTTACCTCCTTTAATGGAAATCCTGTGATGGGCACACACAAACAAGGCCGATACTCACTACTGCTTTCCTTCTGGTGTCCAGATATCACAGCAATGTCTGTATTTCATCTGAGAGCGTCTGAAAAATTAGACATTCCATGATTAACAATGATATTAATACTAAACACATATATAATCAGATGCTAGTTTCTTATTACAGCATTTCCTTTTCCATCTAGATGTGAAAGGTCAGACGCCTGTAGGTTGAATAACCTTTGATATCTGGTCGGTTATTATTATGTAATTTATATAAAAGATCTGGAGAATTCTTCCAGTTGAATGGTACAAGTAATAAACTCTCATTATACTGACAGGAATTAATAAAATTTGTGACAGATTTCTTAATTACAATGTTAATACAAGTGTATCTGTAAGGTAATCATGATTAACTGTCTCTATCTCGTATTCTAGCACTTGATTTAAATTAAGATCTTGTTTCTGTCGTCCCGTTTTGTCTATCAGACAGCCTTACCTTCCCATGATAACACCCTAGTTATGCCCCCTGTCCTAACATGTCGTCTTTACATCAACTTTTGTAACATGTATCCTCCAGTCTTAGGTTCCTGCCTTAGTGTTTGAAACCCTCAACTTAAACCGTTTAGTGTCACCTGTCACCTGATCGTATTCGTCAAACTTGATGCGTGTTTTAGAATCCTGTCATCAAACTCGCGTCTTTGTCGTCCAATCTTAAAATTCTGAAGGCTTTGCTTAGTTTTAACAACCTTTCGATCCAATCTCAACCCTAGTTTAGTCATAAATGCCTTTTACTGACATCTTATTCTACAGTTGGCCTAGTCTTAACCACATTTGATTAACCTCCTATCTTAGCATCAGCTTAGTTTTATCAACCTTTGCTTATCTCATGAATTAACCCCAGTCTAGTCATAGCCATATTTCACGAAATTCCTTTCTTTACCGAAATATAGTCCTAACAATCTTTTAATAACCTTCTATCTTAACATCAACTTAGTCTCAATAACATTTTATTAACCCTTTGTCTTAACATCAGTTTAGTCTCAACAACCTTTTATTAACCCTCTGTCTTAAAATCAACTTAGTCTCAATAACAATTTATCAACCCCTTGTCTTAACATCAGTTTAGTCTCAACAACCTTTTATTAACCCTCTGTCTTAACATCAGCTTAGTCTTAACAACCTTTTATTAACCCTCTGTCTTAACATCAGCTCAGTCTTAACAACTTTTTATTAACCCCCTGTCTTAACATCAGCTTAGTCTTAACAACCTTTTATTAACCCTCTGTCTTAACATCAGCTTAGTCTTAACAACTTTTTATTGACCCCTTGTCTTAACATCAGCTTGGTCTTAATAACCTTTTATTGACCCCCTGCCTTAACCTCAGCCTGGTCTTAATAACCTTTAATAACCTTCAATCTTGTTTTAAGTCTAGTCTCTTAGTCACATTTCAGTAATTTCCTAATCTTAACCTCGGCCTAATAATTACAACATTTACAGTCTTTCTTACCCTCCTAACTTCCTAACTGTTTTCTCCTGTTACATAAAGCCATACTTTCACCTGTCTGATGCACGCATAGCGTTTCTGTCTTAACCCACTAGTTTAACATCTGTAAAAGCTATTGCCTTGATATTACATCTCCCTGTTTCACTTTCTTACCTTAACTTCTATTCTTCAAACGTCTTATTTGTTTGGATTTTACTTTAAGATAAATGAATAAACGTCTACAACGCCATTATTTTTAATCTCGTTTCCAGCCTGGTTTATTACACGGCCAATCACAACTCCAGATCTTGTGTTATATATCTATATTCACTGTAAAACTTCAAACTTGCTTCTCTAATCTTACTTAGTGTCTTATTGTCCTATATCTTAACTCTCCCGTCCAAATGTCTTGTCTTAAAATGTCCGCCTTAACCGCTACAATAACCTTTTATATTAGCAATCACACAGTCACACTGTAACACAATGCTGGTTTTAATTTTAAATAGTTTAAACCACCTTGTGATAACAAAGGTAGAGGTAATCATTATGGGCAGAGTGTGACACGTTTACATTCAAATGGTGTATCATTTAGTATAAAAGTTTAAACATAACGGATTTTTGTCGGATTTAACCACGGGCAATGTAATTTACATCAAAATAAATTTCGTCTTATCGTTTTCATATCCACCAAACCCCAGGCATCGCCTCTGTGCATACATATTAATGAAATTAATCAAAACAATCTGGTGTGTGAGGAACACAGCTGTTTGCCTAGTCAAGGGGGTCCATGGATTTCCATAGGTCGCTCTCCGTTTATCATGCTCTCTAAAGACAGAAAAAACCTCCCGCTTTTCATTGTACTTAAAAGTTACAACTCACACACAAGCATGTATGTCAACAATCTGTGTTTGGTTGTTAACAGCCACGATCATTTTGAGGCGCGGAGCTGGTGACTACATTACCGAACAACATACGGGAAGCCAATACCATGACATTCCAAACAAATTGGGGTTAAGTGTCTTGCCCAAGAACACGACCATTACAGACCAAGACAGTCCGCATCTCAACTTGTTTAGAAAGAGATAACGCTGCTAGTAGGAAACAAATCTTCGATCATCTACCTGTTATTTATCTATATATTGCTGTCCCTATTATGGGCAGGACTACGGGTAATGGAAGGTGACTAATGATTAAAAAAAAAGCTCCTCAGTCATTACGAGTGACATCATTAATCATCGTATTTTTAACCCATTCCAACTCAATATACAGAGTTCAGAGCAATGTTAGTGATTACTACCGGGGCACATACAGGAAGTAATGATCTATCTACATTTTACGGCAGCTAAGCCTCAGAAGATTCTGTGAAATTCCCATAACCACATATTCTTACCAAATGTTTACATGTTTATGAGAACTATAAAATATAAGACAGATTTCCTTTGAAGAGTTTCCAAAGTAAGATACGCGAACAAAAAGTATATGTATACATGTAAATCAATTAACAGGCTTCACTAAGAGGATGGCATTTTCTTAATTATAACGATCAGTCAGACACACGAAACGCCGGTTAATGAGAATTAGCGGTGCTACACGAAAAACGATTCAATCATGCGTGAATTTAAAGTCAAGATAAAATTGAAATGCTTTACAAAATACACTATGCCGTTAACATTCTAACATATGTATTTAGTTTCTTACAGAATTTAAAGTATATATGTGATAAAGGGGAGCCGAGAACTGGCTCTCTCTCTCTCTCTCTCTCTCTCTCTCTCTCTCTCTCTCTACAAAAAACCATGAGTTAAAAGATAGAAGAAGCAATATCAATTATTATAAGCTACTGACCATCAGTGCCTTATACACAGACAAAAGATGCTTCTAGCGTTTTTCCATCATTGCTCCATTAAATGGAATACAAGAAAAGAGAGGTGAAGGTCGCCATTCCGTTTTCGGAGCCACGCCTACAAGTACGCTGTAACACGTCCTCTGATAATGAGATATTTCTTAAATGTTAAACTTTAAGCTTTATTGCATAAAATATAAAATATTGCAAATAAAATCTGACACTAAGTTAAGTAATTCAACAAAAAAGCAACTATGGTTCGACAACAGTTAAACAATTATTGTAGACAATCTCGGGTATCTAATGTTAATCGGAAAAGTTAACAAACTCAGTGAATAACGTCGGTCGTTAGTTTGCGACGAAACACTATTTTCTTACAAATTCGATCAGTGACCAGTAAGTCGCATCAGATGATGGCAAACCCTCTCTGTGGTCTGCTGATAGTTGAATACGCCAGCTGACAGGCTGTGCGGGAGTGCTTAGCTACGGTGCACAACCATGTGTCATTAATGTGAGAAGTAATGCAGGCGATGAAGGCCAATGGGGATGATACGATATCTAAATAAAAACAACATTTATACAGATTCTTACAGCGTTATATGCCACAGTTGGCATGATATGATGTAGTCCCACATGTGATCTAAACTAAAACAAAGAAACATGTTATAAGTCCTGTCATTTTATCAAGAGAGTATCGTATCGACGTCGGTGTCAAAAGCAAGAGTAAAAAACAGCGACTTAAGTACATCTATGGAATTGAAAATTACATTTTGGCCCGATTTTATTTTCAACGATGAAGTTCAAACATTCTTGAATAAAAATACTTATAAGATATTAAAGATATTAATCCATTCCCTTTAAATGTAACATTTCGTAGCCAACAGGACTATATTTTAGAGCGTGCCGTATCAGATGGTTTCTGTAAGATGTCGCTGGTATGTCTCACAGATGAAAATCGAATGGAATGAAAGAAAACATTAATTACACTCAAAGAAGTCAAAGTGACATCGTTCAGGATACCGGATAAATACTGTTGATTGATATAAAATACAACATTTCACCATCTTTGAAATTGAGGTGTCGAAAATTTAAACACTAGACATTCTGTTGACGGTAGCTATCATGGTCTTGGAGATCCTGGGGTGGGCTAGTCATCACAGTCAGGGGAGGCAGGGGCGGTGAAAAGGAACAGAGAAACAAAGACATGCATTCATTACGTAACCATGTGATCTCAAACAGCGTGACGTTACGGTAAAACTCTACACGTGATGTATAGTTGTATTTCCACCCCCTGACGTCTGCAATTGTATGTCATACATATTAAAATGTATAAAACCAAAGAATAAATAGTGACATACATTGTGGTCCATTTCTTCTTCGATATTCACAATATCATTGGTTAATTAATCTGTGGTCATATAAACCAATTTGTTAACATTGAACATAGATTAAAATGATAATTGATTCGTACGAGACACGTTCTATTTTATACTATTTTCTTATACTTGTCTGTTTTACTTCCTTATCGCCCGCCTGAAGATTTCTAGATAACGCATAATACACATATCACGCTAGATAATCACCGTTAGATCTAAAAATGAGTTACTAATGTAATAACGATCAGCCTAAATGGAGGTTGTGGAAGATGAAAGGAGACGATATGCTTAGCAAGACAAATGAAAACGTTACGCTGGATCTCTGTATCGCCCTCACACATCACAGAAGTGTTCTCTTCAGCAACTGATTGGCATCCAAGGACGAAGCTATATATAAAGTGACATAGCAGATTGGCAAAAATTCCAACGTGCTAAAATCACGCAAACTTGTCGAGGAAATGTGAGAGTAAATCTAAATAAAATCATAGCGTTCCACTATATCGTCCTGATTGACGTATTCAATATTCGAAGAATAATGAAATAATACCGTGATGTGTCGAAGAAAGACAAGATTAAAAAAAATACAAGTTCACATAAAATTTGCCATACAGATTTTTGCGCATCTTAATCACAAGTCATTTGATATCAGTATCATAGAGACTGCGTTTTAGATAGAACTGAAATATGTGTGTGACAAGTGATCCTTGAAACGAAAAGTGAAAAATAATTGCAGATTATTGTCTTTATAGACGTACAGGCGATCATGACGTCATCAACATTGTGACGTATTACGTCATGACGAGCCTCACTCTGAGACTATTCGGGCCGTCGTCTTGAATTCAAACGTTCCAGTCCGGAGATGATGACTATCACACGAAGTTCAAACAAAACATTTTGACGAACCAATCATCATTACAATGTAGTGGTGATCACGTAAGAATGATCTCAAAACCATCCACATTGTTGTTTTGTGTCACCGGTCAGCGGACACATTCCATTTTTGGTTTTATCCATTTATTTATTATCATAACACCTGAAGAGCGTTGGTTCTGTATGTAACACGTAAATGCACCGTTGACAGTCATGCACAACTCGTTATTTTTTTTTTAAATTGCACAACAATATAGTGTTTTGTATTAGATACAATAATTAGTTCAAAAATTTGTGAACGATGTCTTTTATGTGTCATTTTGTGATCGCTGTCATATTTTAAGCAAACCTAAAAAAGAAAAAGAAAATTAACTCTGTGTTTGTTCCCTTACGTTTGCGACTACTTTCAATTTAAGCTAGTTCAGCAAACGAGAATTAAATAACAAATTTTCATTTGTCAGATTTTTCATACGAAATATAAGGTCATTTATCTGTTTATGTAGAAAAGGGAAAAATAATAAATTTACGTTTGTTTTTCTCTAACGAACTTGAATGCGAAAATCTCTAGAAACATCTTTGAAATGTTTTGATTAATTTTCATGCATGGTTCATTTGAAGGATACAGTTATATGTTACCTTTATCCTTTCCCTGTTCTTGGAACGTAGCCTCTATTTGTGGGCGCCGCCATTTTCAGTCAGTTTGAAATCAATGGTATGTTTACGCCACCTAGCGGTAAGCATTTTCAACGTCAACGTTTTGGCGTCAAAACTGACCATGTGACAACCGTCATCTAAAATATCATTCGACAAATCATTGCGTCGATTTTCCTCGTTGCATAAATTTTGTATTTCAACAAAAAAAAACTTCAATCAACTGATACGTATATTGAACTATTAGTCTTATATTTTAATTGTTTATATTTGTAAAGAATAGAATGATTATCTAATAAAAACATCATAAACCTTTTATAAGCAACGAAATAAAAATCCAAAGCAAATTTTGTTTTTGTCTCCGCTTTTTTTTGTTCACATGACATACAGGTTTTGACAGTACCGACGTGTTTGTTGTGTGTACGATCGCTTCAGAAACAACCCATCGGGTAGGTGTATGATATGGCAAGATGAACATTTTTTGTTGTTGTTGATCCTCGAAGAAAATTACTGACTGATACCTCAATAGACATACAAGTAACTTCAATGCAAAATGATTTTTTAATAACACTATGGAAGAAGATCCCATTTTAATAACTTAAAGACAGACTTTCTAATTATCGACCTAACGTTTAGCTTCAACAGGATCGCCATACCCTGTATATAGTGTAGCCTATACCTTTAGATTATATTGTGATAATCAAGTTCCACTAAGTTGTGTACCAAACAGACGTGGTCGAAATCATCGATATATTGTGTTGATTTCACAACAGTTGCCGGGCAAATCATCGCTGAGCAAATTTATTTCTTATCCCTGTTATTTTATTTCACATCGAATAATTCGCTACAGGGCATCATTTACGATAAAACCACAAGGTCTGAAAAAGCGCCCTTAGCGATGTAAAATATCAATAATGTGTGTTAAGCTCTCTGCTGAAGGCATTAAAAGTTTCATTTTTTATTCCACACAGACATATAAATGAATAAAGAAATACAACTAAGAATTTGCTATGAAACATATCCCTGACTTTAAACGTATGAGACCTAACCGCACAAAATTAATATGAAAGATAAATATAGATTTTTTATAACGACTCGCTATGTGATAGAGCCAGTTGCATATTGTACATAGAATTGAACTTTCTGCAAGAGCTGTAATGAACTTCCGTTAACCAATGAACGACCCTAGAGTGTTTATATCCGGAACTCATCTTGGTCAGACTACTTGTTAATCATCAGTGACCTTGAAAGATACTTGACACCGTACTCACTCTCAACAGTCTTCAATCGAACACACATTAAATTCAACTGTTCCCCTCTATGTTCAGACCTGGTAAAATCTGATCAGTCTAAATGTTAAAGAAAACGATAAAGGATTCAACCAAGTTCTGTGAAGAAATGACACACGCTGACATAAATATATACTTTTAAACGGGCCTCGTGAAGAGTAAAATAGATACCAACAGATGAGATGAAGCGGATCTCTAGTCTCCTGGTGGGTTGATGTAATCACATCTTTGGATTCCCGCAGCTGATTGGGAGATGATCGATTTTTGATGTATAATTCATCTATAAGTCACCCCTCCTAAGCTATATACACACACTGACGAATATTTAACTGATAATGAATGCTCGCCTGTTTCCTTTGAAGTCACAGTTTGTAGTAATTCCAAATCTCTTTACAACAAGGCGTTGTGAATGAAATCATGTTATAGTTTTATTTTTCTGTATAGAATTCAATTGATATTCTTTAATTTAGTTGATGACCAACTTAATGTATAAGAAATATGTTGTATTTAGTGACTATGTTTTGGTAATTAAAACCAACTTCAGTGGAATCTAATTTCCCAAAGCTGTAAAGACTACGAAACATCGATCTGTAGGGACACCATAAAACTGCTGGAAGCTGTACCGCGTGTAGCATCGTTAGAACATTCATTAAATCCAAGGTTGCTTAACAGAATATTCAAGCAAAGTACCTTCCTTACGCAGTCGGAAAACATCCCCCGTTTTTTGTTTTACACGAAACAGTTTCGTCTCCCATCTTATTAATCAGAATAAAATTCATCTAGCTTCGATATTGCATATTTATCAACAATTTTATACAAAGAGCGAAAATACCATGAGTAAATAAATGTCAAAGAGCTCGACCAGAAATACATCCGCGTATTTAGTACGTACCTAACTGAAATTCGAAAAGTCCCGGTCCAACAAATGTAATTGTGTTAAGGTATTTTTATAGTGCTCAGTATTACTAAAGCTACGTTCCTAACATTGCATCGTCGAAATTCCTTATTATACTGACAATGAAGGATAAAGTGCCAGTTATTTACCGCTTATCTCCATGATTCCTTTCACTATGCTTATCTTTTTGCTTACCGTGTGTTGATACATTAAAATTCCAAACTCAGAAACATTATCCCCTCTCTTCGGACGTCCGGTTTTTGTTGGCGTATAAAGTGTACACAGTTTCCAAGAAATTATACATCCAAAGTTGACACTGTAATAGAATCAAAATTTGTCATCAATCATGAATATGTTCTGCGATCCCAAGTGATTTATAACACTAACGAGTCAGTGAAGTTACGCTTTGTTATATTACAATAATAAAACATCATTCACGAGTACTAAGGCGAGCGGAATGATTCAAGTGACGTCAGAAGTATATTTCCACTCCCTTGTAGACGAGAGTTATCGAACACGCTTTTCATTTCAGGTATCCATAATCTTCTCTTTTTAGAAGTCCAATAGGAGTGCTGTTTGGCTTTTTGTATACATTGGTTACCTATCACAACCACTATGTTATGATTAACCGGTATCGAACGCGCCAAATGACGATCAAAACGAATGCACCTGTATACTCCACAATATCATTTTTGTATTGTCATATCTTGGAACAGTTTTCATGTAGAAGACTTGTCGCTCCTAATGCTGGTATAATCACGCTGTATATATTTATAGGTCGAATTTCCGTTCTGTCCCACACAAGTATAACAGCCTCACGTGCGTTACCCAGCGTCTCCCAAACAGAAATGGAGAAACTAGTCTTTTTTACAACATATATATTCTACCCCAAGTCTCTGTAGCCCGTGGGGGCTCCACATGGGGTATTGTAGTTAGCACAAATATCATAAGTAGTTATGCTGCAATTGTCAGTAAAAATTAGCTCCCCTAACGACCTCCTGCCAGCGTGTTATGTTAACGCATTGGTATTTTTGTCATGTATAGAATGGGGGATTCGAGGCACGCCGGGACTTGTGGGGAAAAACTCCAGTTAGACAATGCTACCAGGCAGTACTCATGTAACATCAGCGTATTGTATCCATGGAAATTCTCAACATCCAACAACAACTCGTTATATATGTATCTCTGGTAAACTCATACATCTACGGTAAGACGACTCCCCAAAACTTGTCTAGAGCATATGGAATATTGTGTTTGGATCCTGTGTGTAGTCCCGGTCTCGTAACATAGTTAATACTTAGGTAATTCCTCAGAGATGATACTGGTCGGTTCTTAGTGTTGAAAGTAGAGTTCCTTTTGGTAAAACGATTTTCAGTATTTTTATGTACACCGAGTCTAATCGTGTTGCCAAACGCGCAGCAAAGTGTTTCTAACGTGCACATAACTGCTGCAATAAAACTCCATCAGAAACAAAAATGGCCCTGCTTTTTTTTCCCTCTCTCTCTCTTTCAGAAAAAAGAGTATTCTCTGTTCATAACCATATCGTAGCTTGTCACAACGTGATGAACACACAAGTGCGGAATCCCATGGATTGTACGCCAGTCAAATGATACACTAATACACACTACCACACTCTATCGTGTGAAAAATGCAGCGTGCTACAACTCTTGATAGTCTGCAGGGTTTAGTTCAGATATCATATAAGCAATAGAAACACTTATGATACAAGTAACGGACTCTAATATACTTGCCTTTTGAAATTTAAGATCTACTTCCACTTTCCCAATAAACGTTTCACAAGACTTGTCAAGCGGGAATGTGCATTTATATGAAACAGTGTGATCCTTGATTAACGGATCGATCTGTAACGATCTTAGTGGTTCACGTGCCCGTCAGGGAACCAGAATTGTTTATGTCAGTACCACTAGGGGGGCCATCACGCTCACAACGGACAACGGTATTGAGAAATAAAATCTAATTTAGCACTAAAGAATAACATTACATTTCTGTTAATGTTGACCGCTACAACAATTATAAATATATAATACGTGTTATATGTATGTACACAATATACAGGAGACAAACATGAGTAGGTAATAAATAAGTAATTAATTCCGTAAAATACGTCACGTTTTGTAAATTTGAATACGTTTTCAAGGAGAAATAATATTTGGACAATGAGTGACTGATCAAACATTATTTGTTTGTCGTCTAAATTGCTACTTGACAATGGGAAATCTTCCTACGGGACAATGGAACAGCAGAAAATGTATCGAATCTCCTTACCGAACAATGGAGCAGCGCTTAATGTATCACCTTCCAGAACGGTGAAATGTCAAGTTGTATGTAGAAACGCACGAGTGCAAATAAACGATTTAAAGGGTCATTGTGACAAATTACCCGTACAACACAGGTCGATGTTTTGATTACAATCGACACTTCTTTGACAATCAGTTCTGTATCTCGGACATAGCTCATTGACATCGTCATGTGAAATAAACAAAATCTCTATGGTATTCGGACCTCTCGAATATAAAAATAATCTCTGAAGTATTTCGATTTCTGTACAATAAACAAGATGCCTTAAGAATTCTGATCTCTGTTAAATGAAATGAACAAAAGCACTCTACCATTGTGATCTCTGTAAAAAATTCCATCTACAGATTTGTGTTTAGAAAATGGTTAGGAGATTCTTGTTATAAAATAGATAAAGGAAAAACGATATTGTCATTTACAGGATATCTTAATATTATGATAGAGGACCACATATTAAGTCCATGAATCAAATGACAAGTCTCTCTTTCACCAACACAAGTACTTATTATCCAAAATATATTCCACTTTGGGAGTGTATTCCACTTTGGGAGGGGGGGGGGATGGTTGTCGATTGTGACAATTCTCCGTGACGCGGGTTTCTCTTAATTATCCTGACATGATCTACACAACACTGTTACGACGCATTGTGACCATGGTCTTTGATCCCTGATTCAGACAATAACTAGAGTATGTTCCGTACTAATAGCTTGGCTTTCTCCCAACCATTTTAGGTGTTTTACAACGAAGGACAGACGGACGGACGACACATCTAGCGAGTTACAGATACAGAGTACACACTTAATAGCTCTGATCTGATATCAACACCTCTAGCTAGTAATGTACCAGTAGTTCATTTATAACATGTATAAGGACGTCTGGACAGACGAGTAGCATGGTTACATAAAACCTACGGATCTTTACCAGGCGTTTGATAATCTTTATATATGTATAACAAATTTAGATAAAGCAACGTACACATTGTTAGACAAAGCATATGAAAAATATCAAAACAAAGAAATGTAATAATTTGTCTTTTACAGGTCAACAGCTCCATAAAATGTTGATTTCATGTTAAAACAATCCTTACATTTGACATTTACAAGCGTCCTGTTGACTCCGTTATATATAGCTTGTTTTTATGTTGATTACAAGTGCTATATGAAAAAGTGTTAAACATTTATTTTTAACTCATTGAAATATCCAGTCGCTTTGAAATATAATACCTGCGTGTCACGTTTCATTCGGATAGCTTCACGCACGCACACATGGACTTAAAGTTCTTTTGAAATCATTCTTTACTGAAAGTTATGAACTTTATTGAACGCCATAAGCGTTTTGATATTTATTTTGATCGAATTTTGTCTTCAGCCCTTGCAAAGTTTCAAACGATGGTCCTTAGAATCACTGACGAGACCTAGAAGGACGAAACGGCTGTATAATGTATCATCACTGACGAGAACTTGAAGGTCGAAACGGCTGTATGATGTATCATCACTGACGAGATCTAGAAGAACGAAACGCCTGTATGATGTAGCATCACAGACGAGAACTAGAAGGACGAAACGGTTGTATAATATTGTAAGATTTGCCATTTGGCTCTATGGTTTCTAATTCTAATTTGTATCAAGAGATGTCTTTTGTTCAAGCTTTAAGTGTAACGGTTTTTTATCATATAAGTATTACAATGCAGGTCCCCATATGGTGACGTGGATGGCTGATGACTGGTTGAGTTGCTGGTTGGTTGACTCTGTCGACTTGGTTGGTTGACAGGATTTTCGTCTCTGCGACTCCTCCTGTGTCTGGGTATCGTCTCACCGACGGACGGATTGTTTATATAAACGGACGGGTGTAAACAGGGACATTGCAAGTGAAAAAAAGCAAGGGAAATATCAAGATCCAAAGTGTTGCAATGAGGACAGCGCCTTTATCTAGATATCTTCAATGTCCTCTTGGTAGATAAACCATCCGATTCTCCAAGTGGATCACTTTTAATAATGAGGCAGTAGAATGCAACGTCCCTATTCTCTTCGGTGGCTCCTAAATAGAAGACATCAGAGAAGTTCTGTCCGTCCTGCTGACTTGTCCCATAAGTATTGCCTCTCCCGACATGTAGTAAATATACAGTAATGATAAGATTACATCTGATCTTGGTCAATAATCGGTAAAGTCCTATTACTTTTATCTCATTCCACATCTGTTTAAATCATGGTACAACTTAACCTTGTGTTCTTGTCTTTACCCATTGCACAATGCTGTTTTCATCTGTATATATGTAGATAGCGATTTAAGTAAACTACTTCAGCGTGTAATATGCTGTTCAATTCTATAATATGTTACATTATGACCCATGAAATATGTTCCATATTTACTTTCATGTATAATATCTTACAGAACTATTTTTCTATAAGGTGTTTAGTATTCTGAGCTCAATTTGTTTATTTGAATTTTAAGCGTGCAGTTATGTACATTATTGTACTTCTGTGCCATTATATGACATAAACAATCTGTTTTTGTTTAGGACTAACGACTGCCGCCCTATGTTATCATTTGCGTAAGTGTGTTATAACTTACACAGACCCGTAAAATTATACCAACAAGTACCATCACAAAACTACTTGAACGTACAGCGCAGCCGTCGACCTTCCATATCTGAGTCTAGTATTCAGATATACTCAACTGCTACTGGCAAATCGGATCTGAATAAAGGCTAAGAAAATGATGCGTTTTTATGTATTGAAAACGACTGTGCAGACAACACGAGGCATTAACTTCTAGATTGTAGGTTTTTCTATAACTCTTATTTCCATATGATTACGAATAAAATTTTGTTGCGAGACTATGGAAATGCATGGACAAGGAATGGAAAGAAATGTACAAGTGTATAAAAAGGAAAAAAACAGCGATAGATTCGACAGACCTGTCATTTTTTCATGCTGCCTTATGCATGGACAACAAAGATGAAGATATCTATATTTTTAATGTAAATCAAAGACACAATCATTGGCATTGGTAATAATTTAATAAAACGAGAAAACTGGCATGAAATCATCCCGCTTTCTTATAGAGTAACACTGTGAATTTGTTATTACATAAACGATGAAAAATACACAATTCAATTAATGAAGCGTGGTTTTGCTTGCATGGCTGATTGATGTAGGTTGGAAGACTTAGTTCTCACGAAGTTCTATGACGAGGGAACAGATATTCCTCACACCAAAAGATCAAAGAATAATGCCGAACTTTGATTTCTTTTTCGCGTTCATGAATGACCAGTCCTCCTTCTATCACACCACCAATATATTCTCTACGTTCTTTCTCCTATCCTCCTAAGTCGTTGTTGTTTACTAGATACTTCTCGCAACATCAACCACAGCAGCTAGTTATAAAGAATATTGGCAAGTAAACATATCTGTGAACCTCAGGATCCCAATCAATAACAGAATCATCTCATGTAGATCAAACGTTCAGATGAATCTTGAACCCACCTGTGTATTAACAGGCATCAACGTTATTTGTTTGTAATTTGTCTTCCCATTAACTGATAGCGTGCTACAGAGACGTAGAGATGTACATAAGATGACAAGAATCAACACCACTCTGATCAAATGTTAAGAATTCATCAGGTTAGATCTAGTTGTTATGTAATATTGTTAGACTGGTCAGATCAACATTACAGCAAAATATATAAAACATTGCCGTACAGAGATTTATATAAAAGAGCCTCATATGACGGATTATATACCATTTCGCAATTCCTCGCTGTTGTGTTTACCGTCGGTTGCCACTAGCTACGAAATTCGACCTATGAGAGGTCACTCTCCTATCATGGTGGATAGAAAGATTATTCAAAACGTCACAAATGTCACGAATTTTCTTCCGTAATACAGACGAAGAAGCCTACTTAATACCCTAAACTATTTTAATATGACATCAAGTGTGTGTTTTGATGTGCGAACTACTTCCGACACGAATGCTCTCAGTCGAAAACACGTCTGATGGGTTGGTAGATATACATATGTATAGATATATAGATAGATTAGTTGTTTGCTTCAGCTCGGACGTCTATCAAGCGCTAGTTATAAATTAACTCAAAATTGCTTAATGTCTAATCCATAACCATACTGAGTAACATTTATTTAATTCTATTATTTACATTCATAAATCTTATATTCGTCCTTCAAATAGCCTTGAATAGCTTCCCAAAAAACCTGGGATAATTTAATAATCACTTCACAAAACTATTTTGTGAAATGCT